CTCTCTGTAATATTTTTGTATGTTGGTCGTAGTGTTTGGAAAATGTCTTGTTAGATTGTTAACACTCTTCTTATTAAAAGATTAAGCCTTGATTTGGATATTTGATACTTTTTATACAATCAAGTCACAATTTTGTCCTTTTTCTTTTTTATGTTAGATTTTAACAGGTAAACACAAGAATATTGTATCCTTTTTTATTCTAGTTCGGCGTGGCAGTACCTTCACTGATAAATAGTTGCAGTGATGTCATATTTTGGTTTGGTCTATTTGTTCTTGAATTAATAAATAATTTACTTATGTTCAGTAAAAAAAAAAAGAGGAGTTTATACGTCCTGCAGCATCACCGTCATCCTCTCTCCAGCAGCTTCTCTGAGTCGGCTGAAGGTGCTAAGCTCAGAGGTTTAGGTTGGAGGTCATTTCCTCCTGGGATCAAGCAGCTCCTGCAGAGGGATGTGATAAGAGGGAACTTTGAGAGCTATGTAAACCTTGTTAAGCTTCCCTTCTCCTGTGTGCAGGGGGGTAAGCCTGAACACCTGGGTTGGTTATCTGGGATTTGGTGGGATTAGGGGCTCCGTGAAGGAAAACCCGATCATGCTTCTGATTAAACCCATTTCCACCTTTTTTGTCTCTTTACTTTCTCTTTTTTTGTAACTCAAACTGAATCCAGACGTTACTCACTAGTTGCTCTCTGGACTGAATAGTTTTGTCTGAAATCCACTTTTCATGCTTGAGCTGTAGATAAACTCATCTCCATCATGACTTGGAAGTTCCTCTTTGTGTTGTCACCTAAAAAAATATGGCTTCAAAAAGCCTTTTTCAGCATATTTTAGTTGAATCTTCACTCTTTTTGTCAACAGAAATGAATTAAACATTTTTAATTTGTTAACACAAAACCATCTCAACCACCTTTATATAATTTAACTTTTTTTATTTTTACAATCTTAAAAGCTGATAATTCTATTTTCTTTGAGCATCATTGTCAAAACGTCAAATTGTTCACCACATTTTGACAGCTAAGTCTAAACTATTTGGACACCATGAGTGTGAATACAGTCCTTCATGGCTCTGGCATATTTTTTTCTCGCCTGCTTTTATGGCAGTGACAGCAGTGGCGTGATACTGTAGTGTCTTTTCCTGCAATGTTTCCCCTAAGTGTCAGTCTTTGGGGTGCGGGATAATGGTGGTGCTGGTGTAGATTTGCCCAACTGAGTTTTGGTAAATAATTTTAACATTTGACATCAAATGAATAATAAACATCAATAGTACATTTAAATGGGGACTTTTTTCCCCTTTGATAGCTAAAAACAGTCTTTCAGGGTGACTGGTCTTTGGCTGCTTGTTGGGGGGGGGGGGGGGGGGTGATCTTCACTTGGACCCAGAGCAGAAGAACTTATCTGGCTGCCATGGTTACCATGTTCACTGAGAGGATAACCCCCCATCCCCAGCAGACTGAACGCTAACAAAACACACAAGATCTATATTAAAACTTTAGTAGACAGCAACCAGTGTGAATTTTTGATAAATGCTACTTTTATTGAAACTAGACATGACGTGCAGATAATGAATCTGACTGAGGACCAGAGGACATTATGTGCATATATCAGTCAAAACATTTATGTGGTTTTTATGACTTTGTCTAAAATAACTGACGGTTGTGAAAGGAGTAAATGGACTACTTTTAAAGCAGCTTTCTATCTTATCAAGGCACTCAAAGCACTTTACACTACAATCTGTGTCCTCATTTACCCATTCATACAGCACTCTACTAGATCTCTACAAAGCTAACCTGAATCTGTAGAAACAAATCAGAGCTTTAGATCACATTCATACACCGATGGGACACACATCGTAGACAATGAGGGGTTCAGTGTTTTGCTCAGGGACACTTCAGCATGTGACTGCTGGTGGAATCGAACCCCAACTCTTGCAATGGAGGACTACTGCTCTAACCAATAGGAAGCCATCTTTGTGAAGAGAACCTGCCTGTCGTTAAATGAACGGAAGCCTCCGTGCTCGACTGTTCCCCTCTTACAATGCTATCGCATCTCGCAGCCTTCTGTGAATACCAAGGAGCCATCAGGGCTCTGACAGTTAGGGGTGCACTGATAACTTGGCTCCGATTTCCTTAATTTGGGAGATAGGTGATCTGCCAATACTTACATGAGAAACCGATTTTATCAATTGTTTGTAGTTTTAACAACAATTGTCTGAACTTCATTGATATTTCAGAACAGTACCTCATGGCCAGTTAAAACAAGTTTGTATTGTTTCTAGGATATTGTTCAAGGGTATGTTTTTCAATAAAATAAGATTGGAAAATTGAAGGTGCAATGTGACCTTATAACACCTGCCAGTGTCGCTTATAAAACAAAATCGGTATTGACCAAAATCAGAATCAGCAGGTCAGACTTTTTAGTGATCGGTGATATATGATCGGCCAGAAAACTGCAATCGGTGCACCCCTACTAACAATCATTCATTAGGTTGGTCCACTGGTCCTCCTTGATCATGTGAACAGTTAGTTCTGTCTTACACCAGCAAACTGGTTGATCCACTAAGAGCAGGTGCTTGCAGCACTTCAGACTGAAGATCTTTTTGATAAAAGACGAAATGCTTCAACAAAGAATATGTCCAGAGGACCTGACTCAACCTTGATGCATTGCTACGGGTCATGTTTTTGTTTCTGTGTGGATGATTATTTTTCTTGAAACTGTATCATGTGTATGAGATTATTTTTAGAAAGATATCGTAAAACTAAATCGTATTTGCATTTCCCCGTAGACAAGGTCTAAAAATGTTCATAGTATCTTTGACCGTTTGAACGTTGTTTTGCGTTACACAATTAATTATGTAGGAACATGATATTCCTGCTGGAAACTTCCTAGTTTGCACTCGAAGTGCAACAGCTTGCTGCTGCTGCAGCTGTTTATGATTGCAAATGCATTCGTCCCTCGATTATTATGGGGGTTTTGTTCCACATCCCCCACGATAAGTCAAAAACCATAAAGTAGGGATACAGTAGTCCAAGTGCAAGCTCAGTTCAAGTTCAGTAAACTTTGTCATGACATTTGCCAGGCTGCAATTACACTCATCACCTGTTAATTCCAACCTCCCTCCTTAAATAAACTATTTAAATTTAAAAACTGGAACATTTTAATTGTTTATTTAAAATGTTACAGTATTTAAATATAAATTTTAGAGAAGAGAAGTGAAGCAGGACATCAAAGGGATGCCACACTGCTTCAGCTCTGCAGCGCCGAGCAGAAATGTACTTTTTGATCAATTACATTGAAACGACTGAACATAGACGTTCTAAAATAATTAGAAATAACGTAACACTTTTATATTTTGTGATTATGACAATTTTACGATGTGACATACTTTGAATTGTAAGTTGCAAGACAAAAGTTGATCTGTGCATCTGGACAGCAAAGGGTTAACCCTTCACAAAGCTGCAGCAGGAGAAATGTGTGCGTGGCAGAGAAGGCGATCAGCTGATCAGCTGCAGGAGGGAGCTTCCCCTGCACTTGTGGGCTGCACACATGGTACAAAATCATTTAAAATAATTCATTTTCAATAAGCAATCCGTGGGTCATCCATCAATCAGTCAATTGTGTCATGTCCAATCTTACTTTGAAAAACCGCGATATAGCGAATCCGCTAAAAATGAACCGCGAAGAAGAGAGGGACTACTGTATATATATTTTTAAGGCTTAATAAACCCTTCCCACACTTTTGCAATGTTCTAAACTCATAAACCTACATCATTTTAACAACATATGTATATGCACTGCACAGTAGCTACTGCAAAATTTTATATGAGGAACTCACCAGCCATGGTCCGGTTCTGGTCGGGTTCTGATCGGCTCTCTGCAGCCGCTGAGCACCAGACGCTTTTGGAAAGAGCTGGACCTTTGGAGGGCCAGCACAAAACCACACTGATCGAATCCAAATAATTCAAGGTTCCAGGTTCTTTATTGCCATTTGCATCACATGTGGTACATGACGTGGAATGAAATTGTGTACTCAGGGTCCCAGTTACATCCAACAATAGCAAAAATATAAAGTGTAAAGGAAACAGTAGGGATCCAGAGGAATCCAAATGAAAAAAGTCCGGGTGAGCTCTGGAGAAGCCATCAGACCTCCAAGCAATGCCTCCCCGCTTGAGAGGCTTCATGGACCGGCAAGCAGCACTTAGATTGACCGATGAGGCTGTAAGTAGTTCTGGTCCAATTCCTGGTTGGTTCCATACGGCTCTCTGCATCCACTGAGCACCGAAGTCACTATGAGTAAGGACAGACCCTTTTAGTCAGGTTCAAATCACATCAAAACTTTCAGTTCGAATCAGATCAAAACGTTCCCTTTATTTCGGCAGAAAGCAGCGGCAGGAAGCACTGTTGGCTTCTGGGTAGTGTAGTAGTTTTGACAGACCTTACAGTGTAGGCTTATTGAAAGAAAACCACAAAATGTCGGTGCCTGACCAAAGTATTTTTTCGTTAACTTTTTATCTCGTATCGTCCCGATCATGTGAGTAACATTAAAGTTGACAATCGTTGAAGGACCGCAGAAGAGCGAGTCCGCAAATGTTGAACCGTAAAGTAGCGAGGGACTACTGTTCCCACAATTTTCTGTTTAAGTAATTGTGTAGTTCAATGCTGACAAGATGGCTAATGTAAATAATATTGCATTCACAAGAAAGAAATTATTTTTTTCTAGAATTAAATTGTTTTAACGTGGCAGCAATTCTCTTTAGTCTTGGTCTCAATCCGGCTTCTCATCAACTCATCAATCAGGTCAGAATTAAACTGGATTTCTCTAAACTGAGGATGTCCTAACACTGATCTACAACAGGTAGAATATTAGTTGCTCTCAGCCTTTTCCCAGAGCTCCACTTCAAAAGATCTGGACTGTTTATTTAAGATACACTTCAAATGCACAAAGCTCATCCTAAACCATTACTTTTGGGACCTGTACTGACTGTTTTGTCTTCTGTTTTCCAGATGTGGACGAATGTGCGGTGGGGCTTGACAACTGCAGTATCGATGCCATTTGTCAGAACACCCCCAAATCATATAGATGTATCTGCAAGTCAGGCTACAGTGGAGATGGCAATTATTGTGAAGGTAAATTTCTGCTTTCTTATTTCACCTACTAACTTCTGTTTCCCTCTGCGTGAGTGTGTGGGGGGATTTTTATCCTCACTAAGATGCAGTTCCTTCTAACTTCACTTCAGCCCTTACGGCCAGTGACAGGTTTAATAAGAGCTTCTGTCTCCGTTGAAATAACTCATTAGCTTTGCAATTTTCCCTAAAGAGGAAGGAGGGATAAGAGAGAGATCTGCACATGGAGAAAAAGGGGGAAGCCAGGTGCAGAGTGCTCCTTTGTGACAAGATGAAATGAAGCAGTAAATTTCCTACACATGTTTCAGAGGAAAATTAAGATACCGGCTAAAACGGCAGTCTGATTCTTGCCAGGCTGTCAGGTATCTTTCCACAGCCAGGAGCAGACCCTTCAGATCGCTGCAAACAAGTTTGTTTGTGCAACTTCCTTCAAAGCCTCTGTATTGTTATATTCCACCATTTTTATTACTACCAATCTAAAAAAAAAAGTTTTGTAATCTTTTTAATATTTATTTTTATTGCATTATTATTTAATTTACATGGCACCTTTTCATATTCTTCTGCCTGTAAGATAGAAAGATTAGCTTTTTGGAGTCTACTGTAAAACATTTTTAAGGTTTAGTTGGTTACTTCTAATAAAAACAAAATTCAGAACCATTTCTCGAGACAACACAATACCAAATTGTTGGAGTAACTGATGGTAAAAGTAAGGAATAAAATGTTAGGCTGACTTCAGATTCACCTTTCACTGCAATTACAGTATTGAGCTTTTTGCAGCACTAGCTTCGTACCTGTTTGTTTAAAAATATATGCCACACAAGAAAAGTTATTTTTATGAGTCTGCATGCTGAATACTCATTATCACTTTAAAAGTATCTTTAGAGTGTCATGCTTGAACAGAGTGCGGTTTGTCTTTTTATTTTAACAGCTGAGCTGGAGGCTTGGTTCAATCTGATTTGGCTCTTGAAATGTAATTTTAAAAAACAATGTTTGGAAAAAATGTGATGTGAAACAGTCCAACAGTTCCTAAAACTTCTCTGAGGGGTGTCAGCTGGAAAAATCTATAACAATGAACATATTTACAAGATTTTCTTCTATTAGTTCAGATTTTCCAAATTAAGGTATTAGTAAGTGTATCAGTGACTTAATCTCTTAATAACTTAAAATAGCAGTTTATTTGAACACCGTTTATAAAATGATGCCCAACGGTAAATTTCACATGACATGGTTATTTCTGCAAAATTACAATATTCCTGCCAGATGTGTTGCAGGCTGTACAAGAAGGGCTACAGCTAGCTGCTGCTGCTTTTTGTCCCCTTTTGTGGATCGAAAAGAAATAATTGGAAATAGCCTGTGTCTGAAATACCAACTTTCATTTTGGTTTGTGACTGTATCTAAGTATAAGAAAGGTTCCTTTTCAAAATTCTGTTCCATGTCAAAATCCATGATGGTCACCAGCACACACACACACACACACACACACACACATATATATATATATATATATGTATATATATATATATATATAAATAATATGTATTTCGGCCACCCCTATCATTTAGAAAACTATACGTTCTAGTTTTTTTTTTTACTGCATAAAAGTATATGTAGACTGTAAATGAGTCTTACAGGCTAAATGAAAAAATGTAGAAAAAAAATGTAGAAATGTTTCATCTTTCATCCGAAAGACAAAACATTTCTACATTTTTTTGTTGTTGTTTTGCTTTGTTTTGTTTTTTGAATGTCCAGAGGACCAGATTTAACCTTTTTAAATTCACATACATAGAAAAGCCAATTAGTAAAGTTCTCTATCTAAAGAAATAAAGGTCGAATGAAAAAAAAAAATCCTAAAATGATTGGGGTGGCAGGTGGAGTTGCTGAAGATCAATTTCTGGCAGCCAAAGCCACCGTTGGTCACCCACTGGCTCTGCCATTGCACCGAGTGGTAGATAAAATAGCTCCCTTATCTCGCCAGTTTCCATCACTCTACGCAGACAAGAAAACATCCATCTGTTCTACACAGTGTAACTCCTACCCATGAATATTAAACATAATAAAACATTAAGGTTTATGTGCATTCCCTGTTCAGAAAAACACTCATCTTGAAAACTACAAACCTTGACTAGTCAACTCCTTCAGCAATGGGGGACATCGGCATACCACTTGTTGCACTAGCAAATAACCACATAATTCTGTGTACAAATACCCATATAATACAAAACTGTTGGAGATGTTTTTTTTAAAGAGCAGCAATTCATTTTGACCTGGGCCCTGTTTTAACTAATCACTACCTTGTCAAGACAGAATGAAACAATTTCTCCAAAAGTAAGTTGTTCAACAACAGCAGGTAAGACGATAATTACTCATAACCTTTCTATAAAACCCCACTATTAGAGATTGCTGCTATAAAAAGCTGGTGTGTTGCAACAGTAAATGAATAGAAGCATCGTTTTAAAAAAGTGTGAAACAAACATCATTAACAGTATAAGATATTGTTGGGGAAAACAGCCAATGACCTCTCGAACTCTCAAAAAGACATATTTGTTTCAAACTTCATTCTAACCTTGAAGAATCTAACAATCCCTGAATAAAATGATCCAGCTTGAAGGCTGGGTAGTAGAAGTAAACAAGTCATGACTCACAGCATCACCTATCGTCTGCTCAAAGACGCCCCTGTGGTGAAGCATGGAGGTGACACTATCATAATATGGGGATATGTGTATGTATTTTTCTTTGGCCACAGTGAATTAGGTCAGATGTGAAGTTGGCTCGCTGCTTCTTTAGGGAAACTATTCCCAGTGTGCTCCAGACCTCGGAGAGTGCTGTGTGTTTCACTACGTCATTAACTTTTTGCACAAAGGCAAAACGATGTACGATTATGAGGGATGACAGACTGCAGCTAATGCCTGACCTGAACCAACATGTGACTGTCCTGGATACATATAAAAATATTTTAAACGTACAGTTCCAACCTTACAGAGCATGAGGATTGTCTGAAAAGAATAGCATGCATTCAAAATTCATATGAGGTTTTTTTTTGTAATAAAAGGCTAAAGGTTTGGGGGAGTGGTGGTGCAGAAGTTAGAGAATGTGGGCCTGTGATCGCAAGATTGTTGGTTCAACTCCCGGTATCGACAACATCAAAATGTGGGTGGGATTGGTGAAGCACCCACACCTGCCTCCCCCCTCATTTGCCCCACTCTGGGCTCTTGAGCAAGGCCCTTAACCCCCACCTTCTGCTCCCCCGGGTGCCCTAGAAGGCAGCTCTGCTCCACACAGAGCTGTGGTAGCTCGGTGGTCTGTGGTCGTGTCAGGAAGGACATCTGGCATAAAAATAATTGCCAGGTCTCCGTGTGACTTAGTTCTCTGTGGCGACCCCTGAAGAATAGAGAAGCCAAAGAAGAAGAAAAAAAAGGCTAAAGGTTGTAAATAAAAAGGTGTTTGAGCTTTGTGTTGTGTACAGGTTCAAGATGACCATCTTTGTGGTGTTTTAGTTAAAAAAAAATATGCGCTAGAAATTACTATTTGTGCATCTATTATGGAGTGAGAGTCTGATCTGTGCATGTTGGCAATAAATAAAAAAAATCTGTTAAATATTAGACATGATTATCCACAAATTCAAAGTTAAAGTTGATTCTGTGGTGTAACGAGTGAGCGGGACGTGAACGAGCAGAGAGCAGAGTGTGTTGAAGTTGCTGTCAGTCTAATTAAACCCTGAGAGAAACAGCTTCAAAGAGGAGCTGATCGATGGAGATTATCCGTCATAAACGAACCCGTAGGAGCCGAATGGAAACTTGCGCTCTGTGTTCTCAGTCTGTCTGGGCCTCCTCACTGTGGGCCCCCTCAACAATCACCGTAACCCTAAAGTATACCTCCACAGAATGAGCCCCAACAATCTGAAGTCTCCTCTTTTTCATTCATCGCCTCACTTCTTCAGTTTTTGGTTTTGATTAACATCTAATGGCTGAAAGTTGCATTTTATAGCAACTAACAGTTTGTTTATGTGTCAGTGTTGTAAACTATTGTTAAAGATTCCTTTAGGACTACTCACACGCATGAAATAATTTGTTTTACTTTAATAGCCTAATTTCTTTTAGCCTTTTCCAAGTGAATGTTTTGTATAAACAGCTGCATATTTTGCCACTGACTCTCTTGCCAGAGTCATGGTAGAGAGAGTTTTATTGTCCTGCACTGAACAAAACTCTGTTGACACTTGTACAAAGTATGTTCTGCCAAAAATACAATTCAAAGGGGGCGGACAAAGCAATGTGTTGGCTGAATCTAGTCCAATCTTTTAAATGTGACATAAACCTTTGACTATAAAACAAAACAAATTCTGCGAGACTCTGGCTTTAACCACGTTACATCAATTTCAGGTGAATTATCTAATCACCAAGGCACTTTCATCCTCTGAAGGAGTGAAATCAAAGGTCCTCGAAGCGCTTTTAAACTTTAACAGCCTGCACATAATTTAACAGAATACTTGGAAAATATAAAAGCTGGAAAACAAACTCTGGCAGAAACTCAAAATCTACACACTTGAACATTTTCCCCACTGGAATTAATAAAGCATCTTTCTACCGTATTTTCCGCCGTACCCGTCGCATCGCCCTATAAGTCGCATCAGTCCATATTTGTCTAATAAAGTGGAAAAATCCATAAATATGTCGCTTCGTCATATACGTCGCATCTATTATTCGTCACCGCTGACAACCAGGAAATGTGGGCCGGTGTTGTGCCAAAAAAGCTATTGGCTGCCAAATGGCGGCCGCGGGAGGACTTTAACAAGAATTTATCGAGATTTACACTTAAATTATTTGTTTGCTCGAAATAATAGTAAAGGTGTGTCTTAGTCTAACTTTTCCTTAATAAATGCACTTTGACGGTCAAATCAGCTGCATTTCAAAACCCAATTCGCGGAAGCGGCGGGGGACGCGCTGAGGCACGAGCCTCCGCAGTTCTTCGAAATTGAGCAAGACAAACACCTAAAAACAACTGTTTGCTCGAAACTATAGTAAAGGTGTGTCTCAGTTACTTTAACGGTCAAATCAGCTGTCGAATTATGTCATTATCGACTGAAATTAAGAAATATATTGTGATAAAAGTTTTGGCCATATTGTCCAGTCCTACCTACCTACTTGCCATCCATCCATCCATCCATCCATCCATCCATCCATCCATCCATCCATCCATCCATCCATCCATCCATCCATCCATCCATCCATCTATCCATCTATCCATCTATCCATCTATCTATCTATCTATCTATCTATC